TCCAGAAGTGATAAATCACAACAGCTACTGTTGATAACTGGTTCACATCTTGCCACAGTGAATCCAGAAGTGATAAATCACAACAGCTACTGTTGATACCTGGTTCACATCTTACCAAAGTCAATCCAGAAGTGTTAAATCACAACAGCTACTGTTGATAACTGGTTCACATCTTGCCACAGTGAACCCAGAAGTGATAAATCACAACAGCTACTGTTGATAACTGGTTCACATCTAGCCACAGTGAACCCAGAAGTGATAAATCACAACAGCTACTGTTATTAACTGGTTCACATCTTACCACAGTGAATCCAGAAGTGATAAATCACAACAGCTACTGTTGATAACTGGTTCACATCTAGCCACAGTGAACCCAGAAGTGATAAATCACAACAGCTACTGTTGATACCTGGTTCACTTCTTACCACAGTGAATCAAGAAGTGTTAAGTTACAACAGTTATAAATAGTGCCTTAGTCCTATCAGTCTTATGCTGAAACCAAAACATCTCTGATAAAATGAGTCTATGATATAATTTCTTTAAAAGTTGATGGGAACTATTATGAAATACAAAATTACCAAAAACCTTACAACTCATCATACCATTTTTTGATTTCCATTAAAATAAACCAAGATCTAAAGATCATTTATTTTTTTCATTTTATAAATTAAAACACTGAAGCTATAAAAAAACAACTGCTGTGACTGTAACTCAAGTATTCACTTTTTTATAAAAACCATTGTTGTGACTAGTGACTCACATATTCACTCTTTTATAAAAAACACTGTTGTGACTAGTGACTCATGTATTCACTCTTTTATAAAAAAACCACTGTTGTGACTAGTGACTCGTGTATTCACTCTTTTATAAAAACACTTGTGACTAGTGACTCACGTATTCACTCTTTTATAAAAACAATGTTGTGACTAGTGACTCATGTATTCACTCTTTTATGAAAAACAATGTTGTGACTTATGTATTCACTCTTTTATAAAACAATGTTGTGACTAGTGACTCAAGTATTCACTCTTTTATAAAAACAATGTTGTGACTAGTGACTCGCATATTCACTCTTTTATAAAAACAATGTTGTGACTAGTGACTCACGTATTCACTCTTTTATAAAAAACAATGTTGTGACTAGAGACTCGTGTATTCACTCTTTTATAAAAAAACCACTGTTGTGATTAGCGACTCATGTATTCACTCTTTTATAAAAAACCACTGTTGTGATTAGCGACTCATGTATTCACTCTTTTATAAAAAACCACTGTTGTGATTAGCGACTCATGTATTCACTCTTTTATAAAAAACCACTGTTGTGATTAGTGACTCATGTATTCACTCTTTTATAAAAAACATTGTTATGACTAGTGACTCATGTATTCACTCTTTTTTTTTGGAACATATGAAGTTACATCAATTAAATCTAATTAAAGTGTACTTTTTTCTAATAAAGCCACAAGTACCAGTTGTGTTTTTAGAACATAATGATTATTCAAAGAACAAATTTATTGGTTTCATTAGCCTAGTATTGTTGTAATCTTGTTTAAAAATACTTTTACTATTCGCTGAATCTGGTCTACTACTTTTAGTCTATTGAAACTTCTAAGCTAAGTTATTCATTTTCAGTTTTATGACCTTGTTGAAAAAACTATTAATTTAGATAACTTATCTATTTAAAACTACAATTGTGTTTTACATATAATAAAAGATCTAACATGTAATTATTTGTAAAAGTTTCCTACAATCTAAGACACTTTTTTGTCTGTTAATCAGTACATAAACAGCAGATGAAGCTACAAGAGCCCTGGAATCTACAGTGAGAACTATAGAAACATTTCTAAATATGGAAACCCTTAACTTTTTTATTGAAATGCTAACACATACAAAGTAAAGAAAAATAATGTAATTCAACAGAAACTTTTGAAAATATAAAGAGTTTTGAAGCACTAAATAATTCAAAATGGTGTTCAATTGAAATATGGGTTGCATGCCTCAATAAACCTACTAATGACTGTATGTCAACATTGGAAAATAAAAGTTTTCAAGCTTTGGATTAAGATGTTTGTAAGAAACTATAGTAAAATATCTGTTAAATACATTGAGTTCAGGTTTACATACCGTTTTCTCAGGATTAAACTCGTGATAGTTGTGGGATCCTATAGTGAATTCTTGTCGATGAGTTAAGTCCCACCAGTGGTAGTTACTGGGTGATTCCCGCCGAAAGAAGAAGTTCATAAAAAGTGTATGTTCAATCATAGGGTGTTCAAGTGAGTTTACAGTATACCTGGAATTTGTTTAGTATAAGTTTTATCATTAGCAAATAAGTACCCAGGTTAGCCATGATGTCTAACGTTCTACATCACTTGGGTTATAGGTGTTCTTATCTTTGTCTTTAATTAACCCAGGTTAGCCATGATGTCTAACGTTCTACATCACTTGGGTTATAGGTGTTCTTATCTTTGTCTTTAATTAATTTTAATAACCTACCCATTTTCCTAACATTATAATACAAAACTCTGGTTTTCAATATTAAGTGACACTCAATAAACAAATATGAATTAATCTGTTCATGCATGTAACATTAAAAATCTCTGGTGCCATTATGCAACACATATAAATGGATAATAATCTGTCCATGAACGATGACTTACTGTAACACTGAAAACCTGTGTTGCTAGCATGTAACAACACATCTAAGAGGATATTAATCTGTTTATGCATGATGACTTAGTTTAACATTGAAAAGTTAACATTTTTCCAACACTATAAATGTATTTCAAATAGTCACGTCTTCTCACATTTAGCTTTTCTAATTCAGTGCTGCCTTCTACATGCAAACTTTTTTGCTCACCACTAGCCATGAGGTTCCCACCTAATCCCATGTTTCCATATTATATTGCATCTGATAATCCCCCATCAGTAGGAGTGTAACACCACCTCCTAGTTCAGCTGGCTCCCTCTCTACCAATTGTTCAATCCTTACTTCAAGATTAGATAAGAAAGTAAGATGCACTGGAAGTGGGTATTAATGGTGGTAAGTATGAGGTATCTGTTTTGAGTGTTGGAGAATGTTAACTTCTGAAACACTAAGTAACCTCCTCTGACATCTAGCTAGAATCCCACATTGAAGTGGTGGGAGGTTCAGAGCAAAAGTGTACCTAGTTGAGCTCCCTTAGGGAACTGTGCCTGAAGAAAACCAATGGAGTCTGACACCCTATACCTTGGAACAGTAAATTCCCTTGAGAACATAACTCCTCTGTACCAGGACAGGTGGAAGATACAAGCACAGTCCAAAACCTGCATCAGAGTGCTATATGTGTAGTGTGGCTAGAGTATGACAGACTGCATGAGGTGAATCAGTTACAGTTTAAAACCAACTAGCAGCAAGAATTTGTCTTCTGAGCCATGGTAGGAGGAGGAGTGAGGCAGAAAAGGAAAGTAACCTCCACCCTTAAATTCAGTGAGGACTTATGTTGACTGGTCCTCCACCAGACCACCTAGGAACCAGACATCCAAGTAGCAGTAAGATGGGAAAAAGCCAGTCAGAGGAGTGAATTGTACTAGATTGTACTCTTTACTGAGTGGAATTGGTCACAATCAGTATACCCCTCTATGGTCCACCACCCCAGCAGCTAGGAACTAGTGAGTGGCAAGGACTCCCATGCTCCACTAGAAGAAAAAAGAAAGCATGGTGGGGAGTCTGGAGGAACACATTATTGTAAGGCAGTGCAATAAGTGACCACAAAAACCTTATTTTTAAAAAGAAGCTATTAGGTTTTAACCCTTTAGCAATAGGTAGGTCAAAGTGTGCATGTCAAAATCTTTTACAGTTACATTCAAAATTTAATTAAATTATTTGACTATAAATGTATATGAATAAAATTGTCATCAAAGTGTAGTTCTCTCTTCTCTCTCTTAGTTCCTGTCGTTCCTAGTGGAACATAGGGCTACAACAACACTTCGCCGATGGAAGTGTTGTTGTAGTTTCTGTAGCAGATTGTTTATCGGGGTGGAGTTGCTAGCCCCATGCCCAAGTGGGCATGTTTGGTGCGACAAGGACGCAAACCCGCGACCCTCGGATTGTGAGTCGAGTGACTTATCCACCGGGCCATGCCGGGCCCAAAGTGTAGTTAATAAATCAAATTTTAATATTACTTAAGTTTTAAGTATATAAGGAAATATTTAAAAACACTATTTTCCATAATATGAGAACTGTGACATTTGCTCTCTGAGTCTTCCCTCTTCTCTAATTTATTTACTATCTCTCTGAGATGTATGGAATTTAATGTAAATTACTCATATAATATAGATATTACTCAGGTAAAACATAATTTTATAGCCTTCAATCTTATCTGTTTATACATCTATAAACTAGAACATTAGACCCACTTGCCACACCTACCTGTCACATGGTCTCTTTCATAAATTGCCAATAGTTTTCTCTCACATTTTATACTATATTATCTATAACCAGTAGAAAGGCAAAGTTTTAATCTATCAGATGATTACAATATTATATGATATTCTGAATACAGAACTGTCTATATCACCTCCAATTCTATACTTATTTCTCATGGGAATCAAACTGACCAGCTTAGCTAAATTTCTAAAGGCTCTTATTGCAGAGTTAGAAACCCAGAAAAATTATAATAGTTACAGGACATTGTTTGCTTTTTGTGTGTTATTATTCTGTGTTCTTAGGTGCATTATCTGATTAGATAAAAAATTATTTATTGTAGTAGTACCATTAGTATATAAAAAAAAGAAAGCTTAAGTTTCATTTACAGTTGACAGCAAAAAATAAGACCTTGGTAAGTACTATATTTGTTATTCTTCATGTCTATTCTTTATTTATAAGTGTAACTAAAATGTAAAAATTAGAAACTTATTAGGTTAAATAACGTTAGACTAGGTAAGAAAATGAAAACTAATGATAATAATAATAAAGATTCCTCATTAGGTTAACTCATGCATTATATAATTTGATACAGTTCGCCAAGTGATTTATAACGTATCTGGCAGGATTATTAGTTAGGCAATAAAACAATAAAATTAACTTTAAATACATGTATACTGTTACAAGATTTAAGCTATTTAGAATAACCAATTGTGGTTTCCTGTTAAAATTTGCAGTCATTCCAGAGAGAAAAAATGCTAATTTAGAATTATTTTTTCATTTTTTAAGGTGGTTACAAAATTGGTGAAATTGGCTGATCCTGTATAGAGTTATAGTATAGTAAATAAGATAAAATATACAGTTTTTTGGAAACAAAACTTTGAATATTTATTTAAGAGATCTTAGGGATTATGCAAACAAAATTCAAAAATTATTTTTAATCTTAACATGAAAATCACTTTGCACTTGGAGCAGTTAACACTCTGACTTCATATAATTATGGACAAATTTCAGTACAGATACTTAATTAAAATTTCTGATTTACCGAAAGCTTGCCAAATTTTCAGTTATCATAATTACAAAGTCATGTAAAATACACAAGCCTATTGTAATAGGGTTAAGGAATGCCCTGCCTGCTTTACTCATGCTAGAGAATGGATTGGATCTTGTTTGTGAAAATTAGCACCACAAGGATAACTTTGCTTATACGAACAAAGGAAAATTAACTTGCTTCTTGATCAGTTAAAACTGATTTGTTCTAAAGTTTAACATTCAGCTTGAGGTCAAGAGATGATGGAAGAAATGTGCTAGCAAGGTATTGTTACGTCTCTGTTCGATTGTTAATTTTCCATAAAAATTCTTTCCTAGGAAACTTTAGCGACACAAGTCCTTTCTTAAATAAAACTAGTTTATTCTTTCTCAATTCAACTTTGTAATACACTTAATTTCCACAGTCACTTTAAGCACACGCTATAATTCACAATGGTTCACACATTTACTTACGGTCACTACCGCGTTTGACTCAATTGTCCGTCTATATCTCTGCCTGTCTGCAATTCAATTCCGATTAATTTGTCTCATGTTATTCAGTGCCTAGCACATACTGGATTATTCGTGATGTTTTCCTGATCCTTCTAGAATATCATGACGTGTTACCAGCATCACGTGACTACCGCTGTTGTAACACTGCCCATTCCTTAGTATTGTTCGTCCCGAACAATAGCCATATAAATTAAACCAATAGATAATTAACAATAACTGAATTAAATGTACAGAATTTGCAAACACTACAAACACAAAAATTAAAATTCAACAAGGTCTTTTAATTTTACGGGACGTATCTTCTGCCGTACTGGTCTCCATCTCGTTGGCTTCTGCTTCATGTGGGGTTCATCTGCTTCATCAGGAAATGTCCTGTCATCGGTAACAGTCACATCAGTGGTAGTAACTTCATCAAGGGCTTCACTGTTTCCCTTCTCAAAACTGAGTACAGTTTCTTCTTCGACAGTGCCTTTTTCAGGTGAAATGTCTTCAGCAGCATTATTTGTTTGGTTTTCACTTCACATTCTTCACTGAAATGTCCTGGACCATGATAACGCCAAAGTCTGTTGGCATGCACCACCTTTGGCTTACCTCACCGACCACATTTTATCCAGAAAGTCACGTCTAAAAGACAATCCACTATGTCATATGGGCCTTCCCATGGAGAAGACAACTTAGGAGACTACCTTTTTGTCTTCTTGGGATTATACAACCACACCTTGTCTCCTGGTACAAAGCTGACTTCAGTAGATCTCTTATCATAACATAGCTTCATCAAATCAGCAGACATTTTCAAGTTTGAACGCACTTGATGGTGAATATCATCCATCCTTTCCAATAACACGTTCACAAACTCTGACACATTTTCAGGCACCGCTTCATAAGGTGGGCGTCCTATTAACAAATCCACTGGCAACTGAAGTTCCTGACCAAACATCAACTTTGCTGGAGTGTATCCAGTGGTTTCATGCTCTGCTGTCCTATAGGCCATCAACAGTGGAGGGAGTAAGACATCCCAGTCATCTTGGCAGCTATTATAAAACTTTGCCAATTCCTGTCCCAGTGTCCATTTGTACTTTTCTACCATCCCATCAGTGGGTGAAGTGGCATTGTTCTGGTCTTTCGTATGCCAAACAACTTGCAGCATTCATGGAACACAGCTGATTCAAAGTTACAGCTTTGATCTGAATGCAGTTCGTATGGCATACCAAATCTGAAGAAGAAATCACTAATAGTCGAAGCTACAGTTGTAGCTTCCTGATTTGGTATTGCATATGCCCACTTGGTGAAATAATCCATCACCACACAAATGTACTTGTTTCCAGCACAAGTTTGAGGCAAAGGACCAGCAATGTGGCTACTCTTTCCGTTGGTGCACCAACTTGATATAACTTCATTGGAGCACATCCCTTATGCTTGGGTCCCCTTTTAGCACAACATGCACTGCAGGTCCTGCACCATTCTCCCACATCTTGCCTCATCCCTATCCAGTAAAA